AATTGAAGGTCTATCTCACATGGCTAGTTGGCGAAATAATTATTTATTTATTTATTTTTTTAACTGTGTGAAATGCTGTTGTGACTAACTTGTCAACATGTTAACTGTCATATACACATGTCCAGCTGTCCAGATGTGCTAGGGGCTTTTTTCACCACTGTATATAATGTGACAGAGGCTTGTCGTGACACTCGAGGGACTTTAAAACCACTTTAATCTGAATTGTTAGGATATTTCCTACAAATTTTCCAGAACATCTCAGGTATAGAGTGATCAAAATGGACCCATGAAAAGGGAGTTTTCCATGAGGGAATGAAGCTCGCTTTTCTTCGTATTCATGCATCGCCGCCATTTTCCAAATGTTTCGCTTTGATGTTATTGTAAACAAGTAATACCACTGGCTTGTTTTGTGACAATGAACAAGATAATTTTTGCAAGGCGATGATTTAAATGTTCAAGTGAACTGAGTTTGGCCTTAGTTGTCCTGTTAACACCCTGCACCATCAACAGGAGCTTGCCCAAGTGGGTAAGTGATTTTTCGTGCTGCTATCCCGATGTCACATTTAACTTGTCCCAGGCATTCAGGCAATTGTTTTTGCTGATCCCTGCATAGGGTAAAGCATTCAACACTGTTCTAGCATCAACCGCATTTGAAGTCATTTTGATATTTGAGTAAGTTAATGAGTGGATAATGGGTAAACTTTGGGGACCAAAAAAAATAAAATAAAAAAACAACAAAATAATACAAAAAAAGAGCTTCGGCCAAAATTAACATAGCACTGTAGACTTGCTATTGTACATAAAACACTGGTGTTACAGGCTAAAAATTCTGTAGCATAAAGATTAGCAACACAGAGAAATATATAAAAAAAAACATTTTTCATTATTCAAATATATATGCTGAGGGAAATTGGTGGGTTTTTGTGTTATAGAGTCTGACACTTCAAACTGCTAATGAGCTATTGGAAAAGTTTAAACTTGATTTGTTGCCTTAATGCTCAAACAAAGGAACAAACCGTGACCTTGACTGCCTTTTCAGTCCTGTCTGTAAGTATGCAGTGAAACTGAAACTGCCCTGTTCACTCCACAGCTGCAGAAAACTAGAGAACACTGAGTAAAGGGCAACGGGTTCAAAAATAGACCTACAAGCTTAGCAAGTCCATCAAACATGCTCTACACATCCACAAATAGAGACAGCACTCCTGAACTGCTACACCTACACTGACCATCTGAAGACTGGTGACACTCGAGGGTTGTCAAAATAGAATTACGATGTGTGAATATTTGTTGAATCCAATTAGTGCAGCACAACCTCAGGGAGCTCTGTGAACTCAGCCAACAATCTGTCCAATCAACTAATCATGCTGATATAAAAGTGATGAATAAAGATCTCCATGATGAAGGAGAGAAGCTTAGAGAGGTTCCATTTACATTGACAGACAGATCTGGAACATTTACAGAGTTTTTATTTCAGATATTTTTCAAATGTTTCTACTGAACACTGTCAATACAGAACAGCAAAAACAGCCTTAACAGCATCAATTCATCAGTTTAATCATCAATAATCTATGGGAGACCACACTCTTCAAATTTTAGATCTTTCCATTTTCTTTAAGAAAACAGAAAATACATGTTTTATGCTAACAAAAAAGTTGAAAAATTGACAATCACACATTACATGCCACTTTGTACCATGTTACTTACAACACTGTATCAGGTCTTTACGATATCTAAAAATAATTAGCATGATATTTTCTGGTCAAAGAAATCTTGTGATTATCGATTTTACCCTTGCAGCTTTGACCTACTTTCTATTCTATAACAGGCCAGATATTAAATAATAGAATAAGAATCTTTTGAAACCTACTTCACCTGTCGTTTTAGCATATGTTACTGCAAACGTGCATCGTGAGCTTCTTCTGGTGTGTGTTCATAGCAACTTGCATGCAAACTGAGCTCCCTAGTGGAGAAATTTTTAACAGCAAGTAATTTCCAAAGCAACGCCCATGTCTTGTACATTATAGTGGCATTTCCAGGGAAACTTACACTGTATGGAAAACACTGTAAATTTTACTCACTAAATCACACATGGCAAAGACAGTAGGAAGTTTTACTCTACTGCAGCCTTTTAAAGGCCCTGTTATAACTCAGTGTTTTAACAGCGGAGCTAAACAGCACATTATGTGTACATATTCCTCAATATTAACTATTACTCTTTGTCTGATCCTGTATCGCAGCCATAGACAGCGATCAGGGGAACTTTCTCTTCAGGTCAGAGCTAACTTAGCTCAACTTAGCTGCTTTAAAGTAAAACCCAGCCACATTAGCTCAGTGGTTGTACTGCAGCGAGTCACACTGAAGCTGAAGTTCTAAAGCAGATTGGCATTTTCGGTACCACTGACTCACGCTAAAGTTAATGTAAAGAAAAATGAGTAGAAAGTGAAGCTGTGTGGTAAAGTTATAACATTTGTCATAATTTCATGCTGCTGAGACCTCATAAACATTTGGGGTGATGTTTCTGTACAAAAAATTAGAACACATTGTGGGTGATGCACCCAGCTGTCAGTCAATGAAGCTTCATGATCGCTCCTGTAATGCTGGCAAGCTCCAGGAGCAACTGGCGTTCGTTGGCAGTTAGGATTGTTTACCTCTGGATGAACGTGCCACATGAAGCAAAGTGAAGCAGTGTTCTTTTGCATCTACGGGTCAGTTTAGAAGTGTGATCTGTTCAGACTAATGCTGCAAAAAGGTCACATTTAAAAGATAACGTGAACAGCCAAACAAAATAAATTGGATTTGGAGAGAAAATCAGATTAGGGCCACTTTTACCTGCTGTATGAAGATAGCCTAACAGAAAAAATTGACTATTTGGGGACACGCGCACACTTCTTAAAGGAATGTGAACCCCGGTTGGTCCTCTGTACTTCTCTCTCAGTTCTCTTTTCCAACAAGGTGATTATCACCCTTCACACATCTCCATCGTGTTAGCCGTCAATTATTAGTGATATCCGATTACATCGCCCCGTCACCCAGGCCTAGACTGCACATGAACGCCGTCAAAGAAGAAGTGATGAAGTTTCAGCCTTGGCAAATGGAGCCATCAGACACCTGCTGCGAGTGATATAGAGCGTCTGAGTGTAACCATGACACCAACATACCCATCATCATCATCACCGAGCTTCAGACAGCAGCTGTTCAATCAACACCTCCCGCACTTTACTGCAGATACAGTAACTTACATACATGCTATAAATCTCTCTCTCAGAGGGGCGGTTTCAGTTTCTTACTGCGCTCTCTCAAGGCTGCTGATGTTTTATTCATGATCAAAGCCAGCCTGACCTTGACCACAATCTGCTCAGCAGCACTCACTGACTGACCCTCTCTCTCTCTCTCTCGCTCTCTCTCTCTCTTTCCCCCTCCATCTTCTCTCTCTTTCACTTCTCTGTCCATCTTTCTCCCAGAAAGGGGGGAATATATTTATATATATATATATATATATATATATATATATATATATATATATATATATATATATATCTCTTTCACTTCTCATCTATCTCTCTTCTCTCTCCTCTCTCATTCTTTTTGTCTTACCTTTCTCATTTTTTCTCTCCTCTCTCTCACTTCTCTTTCCTTCGTTTTACTCTCTCTTTCTCTCTCCATCTCTCTCCCTTGGTCTTTCTCTCTGTTTTCCACTTCTCTGTCCATCTTTCTCCCCCTCTCTCATCTTCTTTCTCTTTCTTGTTTGATTTCTCTTCTTTTTCTTTTCTCTTTCACTTCATGTTCTTTCTTAATCTCCTTCCTCTCCTCTTTTTCACTCTTCTTCTGTCTTGTCTTATCTCTCTCTCTCTCACTCTCCCTCCCCCTCTTTCTTTCTCTGCTCTAACAGCTGTGTACTCTAGTAAACCTCCTGCCTCAGCAAACACCTGGACTGTCACTCTCTTCTACAGGTGGACGATCTGGACTGCCCTTCATTTGACTTCTTTAAAGGGACACACTCAGTTCAGTGGCGCAGAACCCAGGACAAGCATCCAGTGTTACTGACGTTGTAACTGTAGTGTCCTGTTTTGTGCCTCATCCAAAAAGCAATATGTCTTATTGCTTCAGTGTAAACATGTGGAGCTAAACTACTGTAGACTGCACAGGTGGGCTAAACTGCTGTAGACTGAATTGGTGGGACTAAACTGCTGTAGGCCAAATGGTAGGGGCTAAACATCTGTAGGCCAAATGGTAGGGTCTAAACTTCTGTAGGCCAAATAGGTGGAGCCTGTACTGCTATGGGTTGAATTGGTGTGGCCTACACTGCTATAGGCCAAACCGGTGGAGCCTATATTGTTATAGGCTGAATAGGCGGGGCCTATACTGCTGTAGGATAAATGGGCGGGTTAGGCTGCTGTTTTTGTTTCTCTACATGGACTGTATGGATTGGGGAGTGAATGCAATGCTATAACTTGAACTATTTTCACTTTTAATGCATGGACTGTTTGTTCTTTCCATTATATGGGTTGACATGTTTAACATTATTGACTGAATTTGTGAAATTCAAATAATATAACATGACTTTACAGCAATCAGTTTAAAATTCAGCATTATTGTGAATTACTTTAAAATAAGTGCTGTACAGCTTAGTAAATTTGTGTGGACACTCAGTATTTATCTTCTTTTTTATCTTTCTTTAGGTGAAGCAACACTCTCTAAATGTTTATGCATCTGTTCTTCATTTTATACATTATTTGTATAGTAATTCACTGTAAATGTATTTGTATATCACTAACATTCTACATAATTTCATCAAAACAGAAAAAACATTTGACTGAATATCTTTGATGTGTTTTCTGTCCTGTTCCTCTTGCTTTCTTTCATGTATTTGATGATCACAGATTAAAGTGCAGTGTTTTGGAGTGGAGCTGATGGTAATCAGTCTGATGCCGTGAAACATTCTGGGCTCATGAAGCCGGTGAGTAAAACTGAAGCTGGGAAAAAAAAAAACGAGCGCTCACCTTGTCCCCTCTCTTTACTGTCCGGGTGGTCAGCTTACTGATGGCCTTCTTGGCAGCATCCCCAAGTCGTCGCTATAGAAACAAGATGGCAGGAGAGAGAGAGAGAGCGAGAGAGAGTGAGAGCATGAATCAAACAAATGTACTGTAAATTCAATTAGCCTAAGAATGAAACAGCAGTGACCACGCAATGTTTAAAAATAGACCCCGTGTTGTCATTCAGCTGTGGAGCGCTAGGCCTGGACAATATCACGTTAAATTTATATCACAGTTACATCAATGCATATGAAATTACATAGTGTCTTATTAAGTCTGCACTGCTGACCTTTTCAGATGTTTGTTTTGAAATTTTCCTTGACAATATATAACAATACATCACTATTTTAAATAAGGAAAGAAAGAAAAGCTTTTCCTAAAGTAAGAATCTGCACTGACAATGTAAACAGTCATATGTGTGTAATGTTGATGAGGGTAATATAGTGTATCCCTCCATCATGAATTGATTTAAAGCCAAAATCTTCTCAAAACTATCGCAGAAACAATGTCTCAGACATCAGGCAGCGTATTCATTACCATTTCATGTAATACCTTTTTGTGAGGGAGCTTTTACAAGTAGACGTCTGGTTCCTATCACCACCACTGTGAACAACTCTGACTCAGTAAGTTTGTCTTGAATGGAGCATTTCACACCAAACTACTCTGAATGACGTTGTTTACATCTTAACCATTTAATTATGTGGGGATTTTGAAAAACAGAGGTGGAGAAAGGGTTGAAATTTCATGAAGGCCCCATTTTGAAGAGTTTGTCTTACTTCACTTCACAAAATATTTGTTGGGTCATAGGACGAACACGGCTTCTGTATGTGGGTTCTGAGTCAGACTCCGGAGTTTGTCAATACACTGGAGAGGATGAAGTGCATATCAAATCAGTATTAACTACATATCAAATCAATAATAAACTACATATTAAATCAATAATAACTACATATCAAATCAATAATAACTACATATCAAATCAACATGGTGACCTATTTATGTAAGGAACCAATCATATAGGTCATATAGAGGAGCTGAAAGAGGTCAGTACACTACAGCGCAATCAGGATTTGTGTGTGTGTGTGTGTGTGTGTGTGTGTGTGTGTGTGTATGTATAACAGACAGGAAGCAGATGCTGAGAAGGCAGAGCCCACACCCACTCCCCTGTCCCCCACACACCTCCTTCATTAAGATTTCATGAACTGAACAGTCTGAACCATTACTGCATCACACACACACACTCCCACACACACATCTCTCACACAAAGTGACTGAAGGTCACCTAGACCACACACCACACATCAGGGAGAACAGAGAAAGCTCTTATGTATGTATGCATGTATATATAACAAATAAATAGAAACTGGGCACTAAATTGTGCAGAAATCACATATTTGATTTGAGTGTGCCCTATGAAGAGGATGAGTTAATTATTATTACTAAGAAAATTAAATTCACTTAGAATTATTTGTTAAGTTTTTCTTTAATTCTTATATATATTTTTTATTAGAAAATCAACACGTAATTTGTCAGGCAGAGTTAACACATTTGCGTATGACTGTGTACATACATATATCTTACATTATATACATATACATGTTTATGTGTATATACAAATATCTTACATTAACATACACTAAGGTTATTGAAGTATTGTAAACATACATACATATAGATCCATGAGGAGTGGTGTGTGTGTGTGTGTGTGTGTGTGTGTGTGTGTGTGTGTATGTGTGTGTGTGTGGTACCTGGCTGCGGTCCCGGGCGCTGGTGTCTCTGATCTTCTGGATGAAGTAGAAGATCAGCCATGCGGAGGAGATGATCATCAGGACGATGAAGGAGATGGAGACGAACACCAGGGATCCGCGGTTGATGTTCTTGGCCGGACCGCGCTGACCCACCATCACCGACACCAACACCGTCTCATTCCGCTCCAGCATAGACAGGATCTCCTTCCCAAACGACTCTGTGATCATCACGGCTACTGTGTCTCCGGTTCCTGCAGGAAGACCAGAGGAACTGAGTGAAAATCTCTTTATTAGTAGAGGTTTATATACCTAATGTTTTTTTATTGCTTCACGCATTTTAAGATTATCTCGAAGACAGCAAAACTATGAAGCGACATATGGACTTCTGGAGTGACCAAAAAGTGTTTATAAAAGTATAAGTATAAACTATCTTCTATTTTTTAAAGTAAACAACTCTGAACTACAGCCTGGGTGACATCAGTGGGCTGATTATATTGGCCAATACTGACAACCAACAGTTTTATCGGTATCTGCAAAAACATTAACAATAACTACTGACTTTATTGGTCACTGAATTTGCAGGATTTGAACTCAATGTCCTGGCAATAGAATAAAACTTTAAACAACTGGGAAACTAAAGGCGTTATAACAAATATCAAATAAGCAAACATTACTCACTGCTGACCTCTAAAGGTGCTATAGCATTAGAAGTTAAAAGTGTGTTTTTGTATGACTCAATAAATCTCAACAAATGCATTTTATGCTTTTTATTTATTTACATATATTTGCCTCAAGTCAGCAGATGAAAACACATGCAACGCACACAATTATGAAAGCTAACAACAACAGAAAATGATAGTGGTCGGCATAAACAATAGCAATGAGCTTATATGTCTGTGGTCATGCAATTATGTAATAAATTTGACACTCTTATTTCAACACTTGGAGCTTTTTATCCTGGACGAGCCTAAACATGTTATGACTCTTACCCTAAACATATCTTCAGGTCATAACAATAGATAAAGTCCAAGCCGGGTGAACATCTGTGCTCGATAAGGCCTCGTCCTTGAGTGCATTATTCCAAGCTAGTATTTCAATTTGAGAGTAATTTATCCCAGACAGCTTCTCCTGAAACAGCTGATAGGCCTCGACGCCACAACGCAGGCTTGAAACTCTATCAAATGTGTCCTTGACCCAAGCTGGTCACGTTTGAATGTTTGTCAAGCTCGCAGTGATTTAGTCTGGAAGGCCGACGTGCCGTAATGACGTCTCTTTGAGGCAGTATTCTTTGATGTGATCCAGAAATGGCACATTGGAACATTAAATCGGTCACTGCCAATGATTGAGTCTCTGCTCCTGACGGTCACAGCTGAGATACGACGCTGACAAATCTGCTTTGGCAGCTATCTAGCAGCAGGTAGCACCGCAGAGGCTGGGAATGAATTACAGGGGACAGAGACGATACAAAACACTTTTCAAAGGTGACAGAGGAGCACAGTCTGTACTCAGAGCGGAACAGGAGCACTACAGGTGACGTAGCCTTAATAAACAACGCTCTTGTAAACCAAAGTCTAGATGAAGAGCTTTGTACCCTCAATCTGCTGCACGGAAACGCAAACTGACCTAGTACAGTACACTCCAGGACGTCAAGACTAGACCACTATTGAGGTTCATGTCAAAGTTGATTTACATGCCTAAATCAACACATGCTTGCCTCAAACCATATCTAGTTGTTAAGCCATCGCAAATAGGTTTGCTTATGTGGTTTCTGACACCACATCGTCTTAAAATTTCACATTTGTTTATAAAACGAAAACAATCAAGGCTACTAATATCTTCTACAGAGGTTCTACCATGAGCATGTTAATTGAGGTTGTTTATGAACTAATATCTCATATTCTAGTATCTTTAATAAGACTGCTTATTAAAGTTGTTTATAGACCAATATTTCCTACACTAGTATATAGGAGTGTTTACTGATGGTATTTAGAGACTAATGTCTCATTTTAGTGTACAAGAGTGTTTACTGGAGTTGTTTAAGGACTACTATCTTCTATTCTGTGTATAGGAATGTTAATTGAGGTCGTTTATGGACTAATATCGCCTATTCTAGTGTATAGGAGCATTCACTGAGTTTGTTTATGGACTAATCTCTCATATTTTGCTTTCTAAGACTGCTTATTAAAAGTCGTTTATAGACTAATAGTTCCTACTCTAGTATATAGAAGTGTTTACTGATGTTGTTTAGGGATTAATGTCTCATTTTAGCGTATAGGAATGTTTCTTGGGGTTATTTAAAGACTAATATCTCCTATTCTAGTGTATAGGAGTGTTTATTCAGGTTGTTTATGGACTAATATCTCCTCATGCATAGGAGTGTTACTTGAGGTCGTCTATGGACTAGTATCTCTAATCTAGAAGTGTTTGCTTATTTTAAATTGTGCCTAAGGTCACACAGATCTTAATGGAATCCAAATAGTATAGCTTAACTATAATGTAACAGCTAGGACATTAAATTAATCAACAATGCTAAAGGGAGAGATACGTTCACTGTAAAAAATGATTCAACGTTTTAATTTAAAAAGCTAAGTTGCCTTACAATTTTGAGTTCATTGAGCTTCAAATAATAACAAAATGTAAAACACAGATTATTATTCTGTTAACTTACTAACAGAAGAAGTTCAATGAACTCTATATGTTTAAGGCAACCAGGTTACTAACTTTTTTAAGTTAAAACACAATTTTTTACAGTGCTGCTTAGTGCATTCTAAGCTTGTCAGCTTCTGTCTGAAACTTGGTGAGGTTACAGGAGGTGGTTAACTAAAGCTCTGTCAGCCAGATAATGTCACGCTAATGACTGTCAGGGCAGACCAGCGATGCTGCAGTTTGTCCTGAGCTTTAGATCCGAAAACAACAGCTTTATACATCACACAAACACAGAGGCAGCCAGACGACTACGTTCTGAAACAGAGGATTATCAGAATGTTCCCAACAATACGCGCTATTGTAGTCAGAGTGAGACACTCTGGGTGTGTTTCTGGGTATGAGTTCAGGATGGTGTGGTTAAGTTCAGGATTTTAGTCACAGAATCACTCCTTTTTAAGCACTTCATCTCAAAATCACATCTAATCTTCAAGACAGCTGACGACTGCCAGTAAACGATTACCGTGGAGGTTTTATTCCCATCAGAGTGACAGAAATGCCGGTGAGGAGGGGTGATTTTACAAGTCTTAGTCATCTCAGATGAGAGCGTTTGCAGTGATACGGTTAAGGTCTTTGTCATAGAGCGAAGGGAAAGTACAGCAACGTTTGTGTCCTGAAATGTCAAGAGTTTCTGACAAACAGGAGATAAACTCCACTGTCAGTAATGCTGACAGTTTAATATCTTAATATGTACTTAATGTCTGGACGTTCAGTAGATCTACATGCTGGAGGTGGATGATACAGCAAAAAATCTAATCTAACAATACCTCATATAGGACATTTCCTTGATACAAGGTGTGCAATATGATATTTAGGTTTTCTGATGTTTGATAACTTGGAACAGACCAGAAAGAAGATACTATCACAAAACTGAATGAGCACAATTATTTTTACTTAATGTTGCAGTAAATGCTAAACATTACTAACGTGCAGTTATTCGGTGTTCTTTATGTACTGATGATATCCACAATGTGCTCAAAACAGCAATATATGTGACACCATAAGTAACGTTAAGCATAAATAATTTCATATTTTGAAAGATGTATATTATATTTTCCATTTCAATATGTTTACGCATACCGTAAAATGTTGAAAGATTACATTTTGTCTAATTGCCACTTCCCCTGATAAAGCTCCAGTTTGCCGATGTAGATCATTTCCTTCCCTCATTAAACTACCACAATTTTTAGAAAAGACAGTTTCTCCTGCATTGCAGTTCTGTTCTTTTACACACACACACACACACACACATTGCTACTTTCAAGGTAAGTCAATGGAACCAGACTTTTTTTCCAAATAATTTTGGGCCGTTTCTTTTTGTCCATTCATCATAAAATTTACAATGTAAAGGGCAACAGGCATTTTCAAATTATGTCAAAAACTGAAAAACAGCAAGAAAGGAGATACGAGGTTTTGCTCTGACCGAGATGACATATCAGTTTTAAACCACCAACTTTGTTGGTGGCATATAGACTAATAAAATATACACATTTTGGCTCTTATTGATGGACTAATATCACACCGTGTTCTAGTGTACAGGAGCGTTTATTAAGGTTGTTTATGGACTAATATCTCCTATTCTAGTGTATAGGAGTATTTATTGAGGTTGTTTATGGACTAATATCTCCTACTGTAGTGTATAAAAGTGTTTACAGATGCAGTTTATGGACTAATATCTCCTATTCAAGTGTACAGGGATGCTTATTGAGGTTGTTTATGGACTAATATCTGATACTCAAGTGTACAGGGATGCTTATTGAGGTTGTTTATGGACTACTAGCTCTCATTCTAGCGTATACAAGTGTTTACTGAGGTTGTTTATGGACTAATATCTCCTATTCAAGTATACAGGGTCTACACTCATTGTAGGTATGCTTATTGAGGTTGTTTATGGACTAATATCTCCTATTCAAGTATACAGGGACGCTTATTGAGGTTGTTTATGGACTAATATCTGATATTCAAGTGTACAGGGACGCTTATTGAGGTTGTTTATGGACTAATATCTGATATTCAAGTGTACAGGGACGCTTATTGAGGTTGTTTATGGACTAATATCTGATATTCAAGTGTACAGGGACGCTTATTGAGGTTGTTTATGGACTAATATCTGATATTCAAGTGTACAGGGACGCTTATTGAGGTTGTTTATGGACTAATATCTCCTATTCAAGTGTACAGGGACGCTTATTGAGGTTGTTTATGGACTAATATCTGATATTCAAGTGTACAGGGACGCTTATTGAGGTTGTTTATGGACTACTAGCTCTCATTCTAGCGTATACAAGTGTTTACTGAGGTTGTTTATGGACTAACATCTCCTAGTCTAGTGTACAGGTATGCTTATTGAGGTTGTTTATGGACTAATATCTCTCATTCTAGTGTATACAAGTGTTTACTGAGGTTGTATATGGACTAATATCTCCTATTCTAGTGTACAGAAGTGTTTACTAAGGTTGTTTGGTTGTTTGTGGACTACATCTCCTATTCTAGTGTATGGAAAGGTTTAGTGAGGTTGTTTATGGATTAATATCTCCTATTCTAGTGT